AGTAGCTATATTATTATTATTATTATTATTATTATTATTATTATTATTATTATACGACAAGAAACAAGTCCATCCATCAGCGTCACATAGGACTTGTATGAAGCCTTATGAATTCTTGATAATAAAAAGCTGCTATTCTGCTATTCAGAAGAACAATGTTATGAACTGAAGGGCAGGAACATCAGCGAGGGCCATTGCAGTAGGTGATTGTTGAGCAGTATACTTGCTCTCGTGCTGGTTGGTTCGTACTCGAAGAAAACATGACTGGTGTCAACGGTAACAAGGTTGGCCGGATGAACGTGCTACATGACGCACATAGCGGTGGCGGGCGCCACACGTTGATGATTACGTTATTTAATTACATTACCTCGCAGGTTACGCACTAAAAAAACTATGGATTATCTCCCCGAAGGGAATCCTGATGGCATGCGAAGCAGCAGCAGTGCGCACGGCGTTGACCTGGCTGAAACGGGCGTCGACGTGGGTGCTCGAAGAACGGTTTGAAGCGGAACTCGGTATAGCGTTTACTCAAGTAAACGTTTGTTTGAAACGCAAAGACAGGTGAGGCATTGAAGACGCTTGCGCTTGGCTTCCTCGACTCGCGTCTCGTCGGCGTTACCCGCGCGCCGTCTGTATTCTCGAACGTTATCGGTGTTCCTTACTCGCGCCTCGTCGGTGCCGCTACTCTTCCACTGCTGACGCTGTCGTTCAGCTTCCCTGCTCGCCCCTCGTCTGTGTTGACATCGCCAATTGCGAACGCGATCGGCTTCGCTACCCCTCGCAACGCCGGTGACGCCCGGGAAAGGTACGCGCACACTAGCGGGAAGCATGCCGCGACCCACGGCAGCGTCTAGCCCGTCGGTGAGATTGCGCGGCAAGCAGCGGCGCGCTCTCCACATTGTCAGCGCCGCGAGATTCTCGAGGCGCGCGCACCCACCGGCTGGCGGCTTCTTCTCGCTGACAGATGGAGAAACGGGACGCGGGTGAGGTGATGCCCACGTTAACTCTTGGAGTGGGCTCGAGCGTTGCGAGTGGTGGAGAGGGGAAGCGATAGAGATGACGCGCGGCGAGCGGTGACAAGTTAGGGAAAGAGTGACGTCAACGCGCGCGCACTATCGGGGAAGGCGTGAGCTACTTGGCACCGCCCCAACACCTGCGGCCGGGGGAGTGTGACGGAGGGACAGCGTTACATAGGTTAGTCAATGAGCTGCTTCGCATCTAAACGTCTTGCGATGCACACACTTCAAAATGCTGGTTGAATAAACCAACATCTGATTTTTCTTTTGCGAAAAATAGCTGTTGCTCACTTGAGGAATAACTGCGAAAGGGCGGATTGATTCCTTAGTTACCCCCAAACAGGAAGAATGGCTGTGACAAGGTAGTTACTCCTCTAAAGGAGCAACCTCGATAACCCTCTTCCTCTACTTCTTGGAGAGTACCGTATACGCTGTGCAGTAGCTCCGTTGGCTTTGTCGTCTTCTCTGACGAGTATTTTTTACGCACGACACGGAGTCAGAGGTGAAGGTCAACGATGGGAACTATATTTAGTACTATATTCTTTCAGATTAGAAGAACGCCGAGATAATTTCTGAATTTTTCTGCCAACATGTGATTAACTTTAATGAACATATCCGTATTCAGCTCCGTCCACTTGCATCCACTTAGTTCTGTCAAAGCCTTCTGCGCTTTTTTCTTCCATGTTCAAGTGCACCTGCTTCTTAGGCCACCATCACTGAGACAAACCAGTTGGCTATATAGATACTGTGCCGTTTGCAAAGTATGTAGTGGCTGCCACCCGTAAATTTGTGCGTCCGTCTATTCTTTCATACACCCGTTCTGCCTGAAGTGGGTCACACTTACTTATGTGATTCTTAAAGAGAAGAGAAAAGTGAGCCCTGTAACTGTCTGCATAAGAGTGCCACACCTCAGCAGTAGCTCACGAGGGACGGGATAAATGAGGGATTAAAAGCATAGGATTAAAAGGTAAAGAGATAGAGGAAGGAGAAAGCCAGGAGCAGGGACAGCGAACGACAGAAAACGACGGAAGTAAAGAGGAGGTAGGAAAGATGGACACGGTCGCAGGAGTCCGAGGACGGGGCACCACTCGGCGAGAGCTCTTGTGGGCGAGCCAGTCGGCCAGAGCTGCGCTGTCGTCGGAGATCGCGGGAGCACAAACGGTCGGTACGAAACCCAGAGAGCCGAGTCTACTCTCAGGCGCGTAAGGCAATGGGGTTTTACGCATAACACGTGAAAGCCTCCGAAAATAAACCTGTATCCTTTGTTTGCTGTTGAGGCTTTTTTCATGTTGTAGGTTCGTTCATTAGCCCGACATGAACGCCAAGTCTCAGTCTGATTATTTGGGTGTGCCTAGAGCTTCCTAGCAAGGTCGGCATGTGGACTGGAGTGGCATCAACAGTGCTCGGCTGCTGACCCGAAGGTAGCGGGTCCGATCATGGTCGAATTTCGGTGGAGACGAAAGCGTGTACTGTTCGATGTCAGGGCACCTAAAAGAACTCGGTCGAAATTTCCGGTGCCCCCCAATAAGGCGTTTCTCGTCGTCGTGTCTGTGTTCTGGGACGTAGTACCAGAAATGTCATCGAGTTCAAAATTGTACGCATCGCCTTTGACTCTGCAAGAAGCTTCAAATGTGTTCTTTGGTGTATCAGAGTAGCTCGGCTTTCCGTGCGGCGGGCTCGCGCAGGGATCGTATATTTTTAGGCTCGCATCCTGCCCGAAGTGCTTCTGCGGCCGCACGTGCTCCCACACATGTGCCGAGCACATGCGCCCCAGGCTGCCATCTCGCTCGTAGGGTCGCTCGAGAACCACGGAATATGTCGGTGAACTTACTCGCAGATTGTTCCTTCGCCGTATGACCCGGTAGCCTATAGCTTTGTTCGGCGTTGCCAATTAATTTGTCCCTTGGGGGGTCATTGTGTTGTTTCGTGGGGACTCTCGTATCGGGGAAACATTTGTGCATGTTTTCTTTTATTTTCAATGCATATATTCGGCGCGGTCTTTTTGCGCTCTGCTCTTGCTTACTTCCGAGCCCCGCCGCGGTGGTCTAGTGGCTAAGGTACTCGGCTACTGACCCGCAGGGCGCGGGTTCGAATCCCGGCTGCGGCGGCTGCATTTCCGATGGAAGCGGAAATGTTGTAGGCCCGTGTGCTCAGATTTGGGTGCACGTTAAAGACCCCCAGGTGGTCTAAATTTCCGGAGCCCTCCACTACGGCGTCTCTCATAATCATATAGTGGTTTTGGGACGTTAAACCCCACATATCAATCAATTGCTTACTTCCGAATGTAAGCGAGCAACGTGTGAGACATTTCAGTGAATCCGCGATTCTACGTATTTAGCCGTGTCGTGGCCTCATGAACGACGCTGTTGTATCGGTGTCGATTATATATATACACTTCCAAAGCAACGTCTTGCGGTGCCGCCGCTCTTATCGTAACTGGGTATGTCCACAGCGCGTTCTTTCGCCACGCTGCCGCGCCCGCTTCTGCGCGTAGCTCTCCGATTGCGTCTGTGGTGCGTCAAAACGTAACTTTTGCTGACTAGAAGTGCTCCTGGCTAATCGAGGATCGCGTGCGTGCACGTGCTTTCGCCACCGCCGCTGCCGAACCATCCCCGCCTTCACCGGCAGCGTCTACCCCCCAGTAACTCATAGCTCAGCCGCGCGCGGGTCGAGACTTTTCGAATGCTCGGGACTTGGCATTGTGCAAGCGTGTCTCCTTTCGTGACAACACGATTTGTCAGGCGCTTTCCTTCGTCGAACGACTCAAGAAAGTGGTTTCCCATATTCTGCAGCGGTATATCGCTCCCTCAGTAACACTGTGCTCTTTGGAACGCGCTCTAATGCCTCGCAAAACTTTTCTGTGGCCTGCATCGGTCGCTAGACAATAAAGCTGGAACATTTTATACGAGGGCAGAGTGAATTCGGGTCCCTGAATTACAGACCCCACGTTGTGCGTCGGCGTTAATGCTTCTTGAGTTTGTAAAAACTCTTGTTGTCTTGGCCTATGACGTCATTGAGTGGAACATTGAGCTGTACTCATAAGCCAGGCTTGCATGCAATGCTTAAAATTGAAGTCATGATACCAAGTTTATTTGCTTGAATGTTATGTACATATTATTTATTTATCTATTTATTCACTTTATTAGGTCCGACTAAATGGGTGACATTAAAGATGGTGGGGCGACGCTACGGGCGAGCAGGTCACTGAAGACAAGAACAAATAAAGTTAAAGGTTTTTAATTTTCAAGACGGCGATCAATTCGCCTAGTTGATAGTATTATGATTACTTTTTGCGCGGAGTACAACAAAACGAGAATCAAAAACAGCGACACAATGACTGCGGGTTGTGTTTGGCGGAACATTTCCCATTGAAAACCATCCGGCTTGCTAAAGACCTAATGACTTCGACACTATGGGAGCGGGTTGGGGCAATCCGTGTGATCTCAGTATATACAGAGACCAGACTGTATGTATGGCAGCGTTGATAGAAATGTGACAGAAGTTTAACAGAGAACACTGAACACTAGTCTTCTTGCGCAGTTCGTTTGTGGCGTGTTATGCTTATATATCTAGTCATCTGTCTATAAGTTTAAGCTACCTTGCCATGACCTGTCACGTGTCACCCGCTGACGAGCTCTTGGCGCTGCTTTGTGGCGGACGTTAGAGCCACGTAAGTGACACGTCATTTATGCCTCGCGCTTTCGGTGTGTGGCACCATTGGGAGAGCAAGCGAATCTCCGGGGCAACTTGTAAGATGTGGCGTTTGTCTCGCAGGCGGGACCCGGTGGTGGCATGGCCGGAGCAGGCCGGCTGCAGCAGCGGCAGCAGCAGCGTCATGTGGGGCGGCCAGCCTAGCGGCCCGGGGCGGCCGGCCGCTGGGACACCACAGGCGGCGGCGCCGTGGTCGAGGCGCTCAAGGCGGCCGCCGCCGCCGGAGGCCCTGCAGGACCCCCTCCGCCGCCCCAGCCTCCGCCGCAACAAGGGGTGCGTGCCCTTTGACCCGTATTAGGCAGGCGCCATTAGTAAAATACGTGCGCTTGGTGCTCGCACTTTAGGCGTAGGCACCACATCTTTAGCCATTAGCCACATCTTTAGATTGAAGAAATCGAGCTAATAATACCATTATGGTTCATAAAGACATACAAAAAACCACTTCGAAAGGAAAAATAGGAGCAGACGAGCGATAAAAAGAAATGAAAATGCCACGCCAGCTTGTTTAAGCATCAGACATCTGTTATGAGAGACAAGATTCGAATGCCATGAGCTGCAGAGCGAAGCAAGAGATGCCAATGCATGTCGGATCAAAGGGCTGCGTTTTGCGCTTTTGTCTCCACGCCTATGCAGTGGCACTTACAGTACAAGTGGAGGTATTTGTTTTAAAAGGGCCATTCAAGTATTGATGCATGTGACCAAGCGGAGCCAATCTTTGACCTGCTGCTACAATGGTCCGTTCGCGCCGTTGGATTGCAGTAGTGTATCTCAGTGGAGCGGAGCGACACCTGTTGCGGTGCCAGTGTGCTCGACTTCTTTGTGATGACGTCTGAGTTTTTGAGCTTAACTGAATCGCGCGCACTTTCGGCATATTTTAAAGCGTAAAGCGTATGTGTGGTCGTTTGACGGGCGCCTGGAATTTCGTTTTACAGCGAAAGCTATTATGAGATCACAAGGGCCGATTTTGGTGCCGTAGTTGTCCGCCGCCGCCGGTGTCTGTAACACAAATCGCGTGAAATGAGAAAAAGTAAAAAAAGAAAACGCCAGGCCTGCGCGAAAGACGCGGCAGTCACAGCGAAAGCTTGAAGAGCGGCCTTTCAGAGCCTTCTCTAAACACTCATTGGGTAACTGCTGCAAGCACACATAAAGGGTATCCTCTACGACATTCATAAGAAAAATTTGTGGGTAGTAGGCCCAACGTTACTAGACTAGGTTCAGTTGTCAAACTCTCCGCAGCCGCCATACAATGCGGGCGCCCGCGTCCCTTGGCTCGCCGCCAGATGGCGGGAGCGCCGCAAGCAGCTCTACACGAGTGCATCTCTGGTACTGGCGAACGCGCTCGGCTCGTTTCTGTACAATCGCAACAGGTGCTTTCTCCGATTTACCTTTTTAATATTTTTATGGCCTCGTGTTCAGCATATCGAGAGCAAAACCTTACCCGATTGTGGAAATCGCCGCTGTGCTCTCCCGGGATTGCGCTGTTCAAGTGCATTTGCAAGATCTCCCGCAGCCTTGGCCTACCGCTAGGTTGCGTTAAGGGCTGTTGGAAGTTGTTGGATTCTTGCACATTTAGTAACGAGTCATTATAAAGATTCTCGTTACATTTCGTTATCGCCATCAAGACGCCAGACTCATTGAGAATCTAATTTCGCTTTCAGCGTCCTAAAACACGTCACCGTATCTAAGCAATAACGGTTTTGAAGACTCGCTACACGTCCGTGCGACTCAAGTTAACTGTGCTGCGTAGGAAAAGCCTGTTAATCTTTTTTGACCAACTAATTTTAATCACAGGAGCAGCCGTTAAGTAACAACCAGCATGGCAACTGGTGTACATGTAAAGTGATGTCATTAGGTCTAAGACACCACATATGACATAAACACTCTCTCAGCACTTTATTTGCAGATGAAAAAAAATTGGCTCCGTATCTGCATGTTTCACTGCAAATGTGGAAAGACTATAGTCTTGTGTCTGGAGAGACTGAACAAAACGCTTATTTAATGTTCTGCGTGAGAAAATCAGTGAATTGTATTCTGGAGGTGCTGGGTTAGAGTGTCTCGATTCATGAAGCGAAGGCGAACAAATGCATTGAGGCAGGTTAGACACGAGTGCTATCTGGCAGTTATCTTGGAAAACGAAGGAAGGCGTGCTCACCTGTCTTGGAGGCGATAGGGTGTAGAACACAGGTGCCGCCACCGTGTCGTGTCGTCATAGCAAACCCAGTCAAAAAAGTTCAAGTGGTTTAATTGGAAAAATACCAATTGACATCAATTGGTTTTCAACCCATTCGAATTTCGCCACCAGTTGCAAATGTACCAATTATATCTAATTGGTGAAGCAGTTCATATGAAATTGATTATAACCATTCAGGCAAAACTGGTGGCTAATTGGTAGACCGATTGATATAGGCAGGGGACCAATTGGTCATCCGGTTGAAGCTAACTGGTGCTCAAATGCCTAGTTAAAGTGAATTGGTGTGCAAGTGGTAATTCAATTAATCCTAAATGGTCCCGCAGTTGAAACTAGGCCGTGTTCAATTGGTTAACCAATTCGAATAGATGTAGTTTGCTGATTGAAGCTAGCTGGCGTCTAAATGGTTTGCCACTTGAAGAGAACTGGTGTCCAACTAGAAGGTCAGTATGAACACTGAAACTTCGGCAATATTGGTGGGTGCTGGGGCAGGGGTTGGCCGTTTACGGTATCGTTTGAGGCCGCGTTTCATATTATTACAGTGGACAAACAGACAAGTAGACAGGCAGAAAGACAGACGGACCATAATTTTTGCTTCGAAGTACCCCTAGAAAGACTATCGTCTTTAAAAATGAAACCAACACTGTTCTCGTTCATCTGAGCACCACATTCACAAGGGCAACGAGCTTTGCTCACTTGTGGGCCGACTTTACTTGCACATTCAAGGCACATACTCGTTGCTGGAAAGGCGCACAAAAATGCATAGGTGCAACCAAGTATAATTTTATGATCCGAGTGGTGAACTCCTCAAAGTGCATCTGACATCGAACACGCACAAGATTATTTTGGCCGGGTTCTTCAATTTTCCAAAACAGGTGTCTGAACACCTCCTTTGACTGCGTATTTTCTTCAATGCACCCTCAATCCCTGAAAGTAGACCCCTCAGGGCACTTGAATTCAATTAAGGTTGCTGCAGGGCGCCAGGTACATATGATTGCATTTCGGTCAGGATCGCCTCTGGTAAAACATTGCAGGTTCCCGCGAGCGTGCTGATACATTCAGCACAGGTGAAGAATTTCCCTGCTTTTTTCACGACATACCCAGCAAGATACATAAAACCGCATCTCTTGCAACAGGGCATTCGTACTTATGCTGGAATTCATCACCAGGTGCGTGCTCTCACAACTGAACCTGCAGAAGAAACCCAGCCAGCCTTTCTTCTCGAGCCTGCTTTTGGGCAAGAGCTGTCGACTTGCCTGCATTAAGGCTTTCCTCAACGGAGACGAGTAAGCAGGCAGGTTGGGAATAATCTTCGGAAGAGCACTACAATGAGGCTCCATTTTCCACTAGTTCTATTAATGACATGCACGTAGTTCTTGCAGATCTCTCGCTCATGAAAATGAACGCCAAAAACCTTGAACATCGCGGCAAGTTCATTGTCAGCGCGCAGAATGACCCTGTTTTATGCAGAGCGAAGCGTCTCGTCGCTGGGAGCGGCGAAGAAATGCTGGCCTGACTTCTCGATGTCCGTCACATAGCCGCTCTGGCACCCAGGGACACAGCACGTTAGCATCGTTCACTTTTTTACCATTGTCATCACTACACGGCTAGGCTAAACATATGTCGCAAAACCGAGCAAAATACGCACAACCACACAACACCCAACTGCATGGGCAGCCGTGGACAGAGTGCGTTTCCACTTCGACCACAGTTCCTGACCGTGCCGCGCTGACCTAGCAAGATAAAACAGCAACGCGACTGGATGGAACAACCGGTGGCCAGTCCATGCACTCATGGCAGTTAGAAAACTGCACATAGTCTAGTAATGTTGAGTAAGCGGGCATTCGCTAGGCTATGCTTCATCATTCTTCTGAGAAGTCTAGTATCTGCTAAACAATGGGAAGGAACTTTGTGCCAATTGTTCATGCAGTGGCTGACGACGATAACCAATTACGCCAAAAGTAGGTCTGTGCCACAGCTAATAGGTGATCAAGAACAAGCTTAAGAACAAGCTTTTGTAATGGGCTGGAGCATTGGACAACCCACTCGTTACGCTTTTCACATTGTGGTACGCCTGGTTGTGCTTTTGCGGTTTTAAAACGCTTTATTACTCGTATTATAACGATTTCTTTTCTGACATTAAGCCTGTCTAAGGCAAGTTTGCGAATAAGTCCCAAGTGCCGGCGTAGCTCAGTGTTAGAATACTGGGCTGGCACTCAGTGGACCTGGGTTCGAGCCCCACTGTGTCCTTGGTGTAGGTTTTTTTTATTTCATGTGATAGAGGTTACAGACACCGCCGGCAGCAGTGGACAACTACAGCGCCACGCGTGACCCGAGTTGTGATCTCATAACAGCTTTCGCTGTAAAATACTCAGGAGGGAATGGAATTCGAACCCAGGCTGTCTGCAAGGCAGCCCAGTACTGCCCCACTGAGCTATGCCATTGCACGAAACCGCATTGCAAACTGACTCTATGCCGGCTTCACGCCGGGTAAGGACTCTCGGTAGCATGTGTCATATAGTGTTTTAGAACAGTAATGTAGAAACCAGGGGTTACGCTATGCAAATTGCTTAACGAATGGGTCATTGAAAGCTCCAACCAATTACAAAAGTTTCAGGCATAATCCATCTTTGCAGCCACAGCATTAACAAAGTGCACACGACGCTTTACAAAGTGTGACCGGTGCCACGCTTTTCCGAAGAATGACAAATAATTGCAAGGTAGATGCTTCCCCACCACAAAATTATGATTTATGGTTTAGTGGGTGATTCATGGTGTAGTTTCATGGTTTAAACACTGATTCATGGTTTGTTTCATGGTTTAAACACCCTAGGGGCAAGTGTGCTTGTAGTTGCCCCTAGGCTGTTTAAAAAAATGCCAGGCCTGCACGGAAAGTGCTGCACAGTCACAGTGTCTTTCAGAGCCTTTTCAAAACACTCATTGGGTAACTACTGCAGGCACTTCCTTGATACCCACCAGGGCTATAATAATAAACTTTTGGGTTCTAGGCTGGCATAAGCTATGCTATTTTTTCTCATTCTTCTGAGAAGCGTGGTCTCCGCTATACACTTGCAAGGAATTTCGT